GGCAGGAGGTGAGGGCACTGCCAGGCCCTTGGCTGTGCTCAGCTCCACTCTGTCCATCCAGGGTTCCCAGCACAGCCTCCCCTGAGGAGCAGACAGGGTGTGACTGGCCCAAAGCACTGCTGGCTGAGGGCAGACACACCTCTGCCTGCTGACAGGGCAGGGCTTCCTCCAGCAAAGGAACCTGAGGGCACTTGGTGCCTCAGTGGTGCCAGGAGAAAGGCTGCTCCTCCAGCTCAGGCCGTGACTGCACTTGGAAGACTTGCTCCACATATGACTTAGGTTTGGGTGATGCAGGAACAGCATCTCCTGTAGCCTGGGGACAGCACTCCATGGACCCAGGACCACCCCAGGGCCACTCAAGGGGGGGTCCCTGTGCTGGGGAAGGGATGCACCCCGGGCTGTGCTGGTGCCCTGTGACTGCTGCTGGACCTCATCCTGCTGCCCTGAGAGGCCCGATGGCAGCGCCCGGGGCAGAGGGCACGGCAAGGAGCCGGGCAGGGGCTTTCTCTCCAACTGAGCACATCCAAACAGAACCCTTATTTGTTAAAGTGATTAAGTCATCTGTTCATTTTCACTGACTGGGGTTTGGCCTGTGAATACACAAGTTGGAACTGCCTGTTCTTCGCTTGTTTTTCCATGTCTTGGACATTCTCACTCCAGTCGTGTTTTGTTCCATCTCATCCATTTCCCTGTAAGACACAATGTCTGCTAAGGCTTAATAAAGAAACAAATCTCCAAGGCAGGACACTCGTGCTCTCTGTCTTACCCTTAATAGGTGTTGAGATGTGTGAAATAATGCCTGAGTTTTTTAAGAATCATAGCAACTATCTCTACTTTACACGTTATTATTTTTTTAAAAGGACTCCATTTCTAATTTTATTCTCTATTAAGTAAACAGTCTTTAATAGTGTTTATCACAAAGGCACATTTAAATCTATTCCGTTCCATTCTGGTTTCTCTGAACAGGCTTTTCACTTCTCCATAGAAAACAGGAATGGACAAAATGTGAAGCATGTCTGAGTGAAATGATGGTTCGTGGCCTGGTGGGGAAATGGATCGTTTTAAAATAATATCTTGTAATCTTTCTCCTAATGGATTTGGAAGGTCCCTGCTTTGTGCTTGTTCATATGGGGCTGGTGTAGCTGCCAGCTCAGCTGCCTCTGTTTAGACTTATGAAGAGCTTTTCCTACTGTATTTTTTAAATACAGAACTAAAACCATGCTGAGCTTTTCTTCTGCCCTGACAGAAGCTTTTATGTGTGAGCAGTGGCTGCCTCCCATTTGCTGTCCTGTGCCTGAGTCCTGGGCAAAGCTGGCTATGTTTTGGGAACAGCCAGCCTGGCATTCCCTGTGGTTACTAGGAGCTTCTGAAGGAACAACTCATTCTGGGATTCATTATCTGCCTGTCCTCCCTCTGCATAAATGAGGGAAACATCTGTCCCCTTCGGGAGGGAGAGGGACAATGGAGACCAGTGGCTGGGGTAAAGGGACCTCGACTCTTTGTCAGTGGCAGGTCAGCTGTGAACACTCGTGTTTCCCAACAGCCATGGACTGCACGGAGGTGCTGCTGCTCTGGGCACACCCTCAGCTCTGGGCACACCCCCAGCTCTGTGCCCTCCCCAGCTGGGCTCAGTGCCGGGCTGACAACAGTGACCTGTCCTTGGTTATCTCCCCAAATCGCTCGTCCCTCTGCCCAGTCTGTGCTGGGTGCCGGGGGTGACACCCCTGCTGTGACCTGTGGCCACATTTCCCTCACGTGCCAACAGGGGAAGGATGGGGAGCTTTCCCTGTCCTTGGCTCCCACCAAAACAGTCAGGATGGGGACATTGTCCCGTCCTTGGCTCCCACTGACACAGTCAGGATGGGGACACTGTCCCGTCCTTGGCTCCACTGGCCTATCCAAGGGCTGCCAACAAGACATGTGTTACCACATGAATGAGATTCCCATGGCAGGGATGGAGCCCAAGGCTCACCACTTAGAAATGTGATTTAATGCTTTTAATGGATTAAGGCCATACTCTTATCGAGCTTTCTGCCAAGGAAAAAAAGAACCACGATTGTGTTTTATGAAAACAAGGTGAATGACCAGACTTGGAGCAGTTCAGGCTTAAACAGACACCACCTGTGTAGGAGCAGAGGGGCTGCAAACTGATGCTCTAATTTGTTGAAGACTGTGAGATTAATTGAAATGTGGTGGGAAAGAATTGTTGGCTTGGGGTTTATAAAAGCAAGGCCCTGCAGGACTGAGATGAGTGAGACTGGAAAGACTGGAAAGAAAGGTGTTCCTTATTGTTACCTTCTCCCTTTGCTGTGGGTATAGAATGTCCTATAACAACTGTGGATTTTAAACTGAAAATCTTATTTCTTTCTGTGTTTGACCTGTGTATGTGGTGACACAAAAGAGAGGAGAACTGAGACACACTTTTTTTTATTAGTTTTTTTTCCGCAAACCTGTTTGGTTCAAAATGCCAAATATATTGGTACTTAAACTCCCTCCAGGTGCAATAATTCAAGGAGTTTAATAAATCAGGTATGGACTGTTGTTAAAACACACTGTTCTTTCTGAAATCATAACCATGGATTAAATCAGTTGGGTAATTAAGAATCAGAATTTGGCTGTGCAAAGGGCAAAATTTTTAATTATATGATGTGATGTGATATGACATTAATATTATATATTCACTCAAAGTAGGACTGTGAGAAAGGCTATTTTTGGACTGAAATTTTAAAGCAGGCCTCCTTTGCTGTAATACAATGTAATTCTAGTAAATCTCCTGTGTTGCAAAGATCAGCTTTCCAAATTTTGTGTCCCAGGAGCTTGCTCTTTATGTGTTTTTTCCCCGCTATTGGAAGAATCTCAGTTTTTGCAGCTTTAGTTTTGGATGGGCCAGTTACAGGGAGGGAGTTTATTCCAAGAATATCAGTGTGGTTTTTATCACTGTGATTGGGCTGCTCTGTTAATGGTTTACTTAAAACAAAGAGATCTTTGCTGTGGCATTTGCTGCCCAGTCATAACTATCTGGAGTATTTCAAGTATTCCTAGGTTTTCACTCACCAGGATAAGAGCATCTGCAGCTGGCTGTTCTTTCTAATGTTTCTCTGGGAATTCTCAGGAGC